ATAATATTTATAGATTGCTTAATAAATTGTATAGAGATGCACCTCTATCGCAGAATCATCCCAATTAAACATGATAAATTTTTTCCAAATAGAGATATCAAGTCATCTGGTGAAAATTTATTTTGTTGTAATATATATATATATATATGTAAAATCACATTTTTATATTATTCCCAATATCGTGCAGCCCTACTTCAAAAATATTTTTTAACAACAAAATTTTTTCCCAATCTGTTCCCAAAATGAATGAATGAACAATGACAAACTGTATATAATAATAATAATAATTAATATTATGATTATTATTATTATTATGATTATTATTATTTGTTATTATAAATTGCCATGAAACTAAATTTTCTAACACTTATTTTTATATGCAGTGGTGGAAAGAGTACCATTACTTCCCTAAAAATGTAGTGCAAGTAAAGTAAAAGTATCTGTTGTAAATATTACTCAAAGTATGAGTAAAAAATAGACCTTTCTAAAGTACTCTAAAGCAGTGAGTAGTGAGTATTGCGCTATTAAAAGCTGATGCATTGGCGTAATTTGTGGATGTGTGTGTAAACGTACCACTCTGTAGTGCATTTAGTTATTGCCTAGCAGGCACACAACATCATAAGGCGTTAATATTAGGTTAGATTTAGGTTTCTGACATCAGGTGACCAAAGTTTTATGTCTAACCATCGTAAAAGGACAATATTATTTTGATGTTAAATAATGACGTCAAATGACGTTGATATTTGGTTGATTTTAGGTTGTGTTGGAAAGTGACCAAAATCCAATGTTGCGCCAACTTCCTAAACCAACGACATATTGACATCAAATACTGACGTTTATTCATCACGGACCAAAATCAAAAATTATTCATTGCAACCAAAATCCAACTCTGCGGGCACACAACTTCAAGGTGTAACATCATTAGACGTTGATTTTTAGTTAGTTTTAGGTTGGACATTGAGGTTGGTCTGACGTCAACCTGTTTTTCATTTCCAAACAAAATGCAACATCCCCATGATGTTAAGGTACAACGTTATTCGACTTCATGTTGACGCCTTGTGCCTGCTGGGTGTTTAAGGCCATTTCGGTCATCAAACAGTAAACATCCGTCATCTTCTCATCAGTGACATGCATCTAAACAGTCTCCGGGCCAATGCGTGTAAAGATTTTGGACGTCTTCTTGAACACTTTTAATGCTTCCAAACAGTTTGCTACAATTATACATCACACGTCTTGAGGAAGTTCATTATGTAGCGATTTTCTTTCTATGTGTGATCTGATAGTACAGGAATCACAGGACTGATTTTTTTAATCCGAAAAAATAAAGTAGTGACTGCAGGTTGAAGGAAAGTAGTGGAGTAAAAGTACTGGTACAGCACTAAAAATGAACTCAAGGGAAAGTTAAAGTACGCAATTTAAAGCTACTTAGTAAATTACAATTCCTGAGAAAAACTACTCTAATTAATGACATTACAGTCATTTGAGTATTTGTAATTAGTTACTTTACACCACTGTTTAATTGTAATATTGTAAAGGCACTTTTTTGTGCATAATTTTTAATGCGAGTGCTCTCATAGTCTGTAATCAAATACCTTAATCTTCCCTCCCCTCTCAAGATGGCTTTCCACATCCTCCCATGGGCTATGGTGTGAGAAAGGGGCTATTGGGGGTCTGTCTTGTGGTCAGTCTTTCTTACCAAAGTCAGTTGTTTAAAATACAATAAAAAGGTGTAATTCCTCATTTATGTTGTTATTCAGTAAAAGATCCCTCATATGAGGATGTTGGTCAGATTTTTTCATTTACTTGCATGGATTAATTGTTCACCTAAAGTATAACAGTCTGCACTATCAAAATTAACTTTTGATTTCACAAAGACCTTAATGTTGGTGTTGTTTTAGATGGAAGGCTGTTTTAAACATCTCCATCAGATACTCAGAAACATCGTAGTGATTTTAGGTGCACCACAAGTCAACAGTATTCAGTCGGTTTCAAATTGTATCAGACACTGTTTTGCAAAGCAGTGGTAATGGTTAATATAGCGTGTCTAATGTTTACTGTAAATGACATATTAGGCAGATGCTGCCAATGCTCTGACTCCATTCAGACAATCAGAACTCTATACTATTTACTCCTTGGCAGAAAAAAAATATTTCCAAGTAAAATCAAAGCATATTTTCCCTTAAGACTTTGGAAATTGGGATCCAAGCCCGAGAGCTGTTGCAAATAATGTTTTGAATTTTGGTTGCACAGTGGAATAATGCTGAAAAGACTCAGGCCTGCTCTTTATGCTGTGCTATTTTGGCAGAGCAGTGAAGTGGCAAAGAGGGCTCAGCTTTCTGGACTGACTCACTGTCTATCAGATCCTTCAAAGAGAGAAACAATAGGTGCACTATCCCACTAATCTCTGATTAAACATGACAAGTGTATATTAGGATATAATGTTCCATCAGTTAATGTTAACGTGTTTACTAACACGAACCAAAAATGAATAAAACATTTGTTACATTATTAAATCATCTTTGGTAACTCTGTATTAACTAATGTTGCTGAAATTACATTAGAAAATATTAAAATTAAAATTAACTTCAGTGTTGCCAACTATTTCCAAAAAAAGTAGCTAAAGCCTGCACAAAAAGTAGCTAAATGTTGCAGATGATGTCACACACTAATTTGCATATCAGTGACGTCATCAAGTAGTGTCTGACAAGCGTAAGCTCATCATGTCTCTATTCTCTCATGTCCCGTTTATTACATTTTATTAAAACATTACATCCAGATGCACAATAAATAGGTTTTTATTAACATATTACTTTGTGTGATGATGTCATTGTGTAATCGCAACTCAAAACTACATCTTTATGTCGTATACAAAATAGTTATTGTTTTCTCAAATTGATCAGCCATCTCAGCAAAAACATTATTTAAAATATGTCCATTTAGATTTGTTTGAAAAATAGAGTTGACTATTTGTAAAAGTAATACAAACATTTTTTAATAAGATTTTTTTATTTTGAAATATAACACTGATAATGAACAGATACATTCCTTTAAACAATCACAGCTTGTGTACTTACTCTTTTTAACTTGTGAAATTAACACATTTGTAACAGTGACTATTGGAATTTATTGCTACCCAAATAACCAACAATTATACATATTAACAAAAATCAGTAAATTGACAGTTATGAAAAACAATCTGAGCTAGCAATTTAACTTGAATGTGATATGTGTGTGTTGAGTGAAGCCTGCAACCACTGCTCTTTTGAGTCACCTTTAAGAAAAATAGCTAAAAGTAGGCAAATTAATGTTAAAAATTGCTAAATTTGTTGCTAGGTGCCTTTTGAAAAAAAAAAAAGGTTGCAAGGGTTCTAGGGTAGTATGAAAAGGTGCTAAATTTAGCAACAAAATTGCTAAGTTGGGAACACTGATTAACTTTGATTAATAAACACTGGTTATACTTAATTAATGTTAGTAAATACAATACCATCACTAACCGTTGGAAACTTATTGTTAAGTGTGACCGTGATATATGTCATTATTGTAAAGTAGGATTTGTTACTTTGTGGTGTAAATCTTTGTTCATGTTGCCCAACTATAGTGACCCTGGTCCACAAAACCAGTATTATGTTTCATAGGTATTTTTATGGCAAAAGGCAATAGTACATTCAATGGGTAAAAATAGCAGATTTTAAAATATGAATAATTTCAGGCTTGACTGTATAGGTAAGATCATGTTCTATTATACTATTTTGTACATTTCTTACTTTAAATATTTTAAGACTCAATTTCTGATTAGTAATGTGCATTGCTAGCACTTCATATAGACCTCTTTATAGCATATTTTCTTCGTTTTTTTAGCCCTCATATTCCAGGTTTTTAAAATAGCTGTATCTCAAGCAAATACTAACAAAGTATACATAAATGTAAGGCATTTTTGTTAACGCAATTTCATAAAATTGACACTTATGAATGGTTTTGTGGTCCAGGGTCACATATGGCCAATATTTACAGGTCTGACAGGTTTTAGCTGAATTTTGAATAATAAACTAGTAAGCTACACTTACATTTTTGTATATAAAGGTGTCACTCTCAGGCCCGTGCAGAGACTGTCCAAAGCGTGTGTACTCAAGAGCGGTGTTGTCGCGCACCTACTGAAGGGCGGTAGGAGGGAGGGGGGCTGTGTCGCGGGGGTACTTTTGATCATTTTGGAAGGGCACTTTCTATCCAAGACTAAAAAGGGCATGTGCACTGCACAGGTTGAGCCCTATGTGTACGTGCCTGGTCACTCTCATATCCTTTGCTTTATTTCCTAATATATAAGGGGTGAGAAGGAACAGCAAAAGGAACTGCCAATTACTCTGGCATATGTTTTATGTGTATTCATAATGCCACAATCAGTAATATAGAATTCTATTCATAATAAATGAAAAGATAATACACTTTGGGTGGTTCCTGATGGGTATTTTCAGACCTGTAATAACTTTCACTATTATACATTAAAAGAATTAGTGGTATACATTGCATAGATTGCATTATTATATTTCAAACACTTGATTTTAGGGTGATGGAATTTCTTATTGGAAAGCATGTTACAGACAGTCAAGATGAATGGGAATATCATTCATAATACTGTATAAGCTAGTGTGTATATACTCAGCAAAATATTTCTCCATTTAACTTTTCCCGGTTAACTAACTGAATGTGTAAATGCAACATGTAACCTGACATGTAGCTTATGAGACATTTCATTAACTTTGTTCTGTGGTTGAAATCCTAATTTATTGATTTTTTTGAGAATTAATTCCACAGTAGAACAAAGAACATGTTAAGAAATGTTCTGTACTATTTAAAGGACACTTTCTTAACTTTTTGCTTCATTTATATCACCTCGATCAGTATAATGCTCCTTTATGATATAAAGTACAATACAAATGCACCTTCAATACAAATAAGTGCACTTCTTATTCACAAAAAGGTGTTCATTTTTCCTGTGTGTGCAGGTCGAACAGAGGCTGAGCTGAAGAACTTCAGTCCTCATTACAGAAGACAAAGCTGTGTCGCCTTCTTTTGCCATCTAAAGGATGAGGTGGAGCAGCACAGAGCAGCACAGTCCCAGCTTCTTAAACAAAAGGTAAAACTTATTATAAATTTATAATGATAGCATTAAAGGATATCTATTTAACCCTTTTTTAAGATTCAATATAAGTCTCTTGTGTCTCCAGAATGTGTCTGTAAAGTTTCAGCTCAAAATACCCATCAGATTATCCATTATACCTTTTTAAAGGGTCATGACACCCCCCACTTTCGGTTCAAGTCTACCTCAGAATTTTTTCAAAAGATGCATCATAATGGGCGTGGAGCTCCGCGATCAGAGGCAGGAGGGGGCGTGGCCAGCAGGGGAGAAAGAGGGGAGCGAACAACTGTTGTTAGTTAGCTCACAAAATGAGACACAAACCGTGAGGAGACGGATAATTTTATACTTTACAAAGTTAAAATGCAAATCAATAAACAGTAATTTAATGCCCTGCTACATTACATATTCGTAATTTCATATAGAGATAACTACAATTTATATCATTATAAAGATAATCGTGTTCATATAAACACTATAAATGAGGACTTTACCCTCAATCTCCGGGTCTGAATCATAGATGTGAATGCAGACTCAGTGCAGCAGATCTCTTGACCTGTCTATTTTAACCATTAGCCCTGTTGGTAATATAGAGGATTTAGGCAAACATAGCAGCACGGCGATGTGTCTAAATGTGAACGAACTCCTGATAAAAGACAACGTCCGCCATTCTCCAATTCTCGTACTGCTTTCCCGACAAAAAGGCTTGATGGACACAAACAGTTTTGCTGAATCGGCCCTGACAGCATTGCATTGAAAAACATGCAACAAACCCTGTGGATCATGGAAACAAACACATACGAGCCTTCATGAACAGCTAAATACTGTGTGCCATTGGTCCGTGTCTTACAGCTTGGGCTTGGCATTGGCAGGTCTGCCTTGCCTTTGGAAAGCACGTGCTCTCATGGATAATTAATAAGCAGGCTCCTCCGCTATGAATAATAATGAGAAACTGACGCGTCATCTTTGTACTTGCAGTTTTGCGCTACCTCGCCGGTTTTGATCCCGCCCCAAAAATTATTTTAAACCTGGAAGCTGATATTAGCTGACAAAAGCTCAAAAATATCCAGTTTTTTCCCACATTTAAAGCTGACAGGTGCTAACATTGTCTTAACTGATGCTCAATTCACACAAATCTGTTATATGCTCAAAAAAAGTACTCGAGGGTTTCGTGAACCTTTAAATTAGAAAAATTTGAGCTGTTAGGACATTGTAGCTGTTTTTGTTGCCTGTGCCTTTAATGCAAATGAGCTGGTTCTCCTCGCCAACTGTTCCCACAAGCGTGTCAGATATCTGTTTGTATTTATCTGGTGTGTGGCCTTCACATAGATAAACAACACAGTGACAGACAAGAATGAAGCAAATTTCCCATACTACAGTAAAAACTTTTCCAACGGCTATTTGATATTTTTGTTGTGAAGATAATTCAAGCCTTTCTGCAATGACAAGTCACACACAATTCGTTATAAAGTTTGAGCAATTGCATCCACATGCACGCTTTGCACTGTTTTTGCACAGAAAATGTGACAGGATACACATTAATATACACTGCTATATGGACTTTTGTTATGTTAATGTGCAAATAAACCTGATTTTACGTCCACAAACTAAAATTGAGGCGTCTTCTTTTATAATTGTACTGACACTATGCAGCTATGGTAATGAATTTCTTTATGAATTTTTAAAAATTTTCTTTAATGTCTTTATTACAAACATGCACTGTGTTAAAAACTTTTAAACTTGTAAAACTCATTCTTGAGGTGCAAATTATCACAGATAGCTAAACAGATCTTCTAATCCCTGCTTTGCGCACGTCCTGTCTTGTGGATCTGATTATAAGCATTACATATTATGTGGTGGGCCTCAAAATGGAAGAGATTTGGATCTTATTTAAGATATAAGGAATAGGAATATAAGAGACTTATTGTGTTTATATCACCCCAATATGACAGTGAACATACTATACCTACACTTAGTTCTGTCCAAACAGCTTACAAAAGATGATATTTTGCCTAGGTGCCCTTTAACAAATGTGGTCAATGTATTGCACTCTTACAATATCAGTATTATCTGATTCATGATATTGCAGTTTTTATTCTCACTGATATGAGACATATATTCACTTCAGGTACCTCCGGAGGCCTCAGAGGTCCTGTACAAGGACAGCATGCTTTACTTTGATGACAACAGAAAGTGGAGAGAGAGATTGGTTGTTGTCCGTGCTGACTACAGTCTGGAGCTTCACGATAGTCAGGAGGTATTTAAATGTTATCTTTGATCATGCTACTTTTTTGACTGACTGGACAGCCTTATGATTCTGTAATTTCTTATTCATCCAGTCTTATACAAAGGGAACCCCAGCACGCCACAAACTCTTGCCAACAGGGGGCGCTGTGTTGACGTCAGAGGAAAAATACACTGCTGTTGTGGACAAGGACTTTCCTGATCCTAATGGTGAGTGCATCTCAGTTGGTTACTCTTTTTGTAAAGAAAGTCGACAAGGTTTGAGAGAGTGATGGGAAGTTGGAATCATTTTACTGACTCTTGAGACAAATCTTTTTACGAGTCATTTCGTTCAATTTGCCAAAAATCATTAAAATGTTGCTTCCAAACATATCTACAACTAGAACAAACGTTGATCACAATGCAAACAAGTCATAACCAAAATGCTTTAAGAGAAAAAATTCAATCATTGTTTACCCGGGTCTTATGTTTACAGTATGATTAGCTGATCTCAGCTCACCTTTTCTTACAAGAGTTGTTTATTGACGAGACACAGCAGTCCGATGTAAGCTTAACCGATGCACACAGTCTGAGCCGAAAGGACCCATGATAAGTTTATCTTTCAAGCCTTTATGTTTTTTAGTCATTTGTTAATCATGTGACAGCATATAAAGAGATGACTCACACCTGAGGACATGAGAAATGAATGTATCAAATCTTTTTCCCACTCTAAGTTTATAGGATTGACTTATGTCTTTCATGTGATGAACAAACTACTCAAACCCTCGGACTCAGGAGATGAATATATCGAATTTTCCAGTACTGGGCTGGCTGCATATGATTGGCTTACAGTATGTCTTTTACATGATGAACCAATGACTCAAACTCAATAGAAGACTCAAAAAAAGGATCTAATCTTCTACCCCACCTGGACATTATGCATATGCACGTGTTAGAGCGCATGAATCACTCCCTGAGAGGATTCATTGTTCTTCAGTTACATTAAAGATTCGTTCAAAATAAACTAATCAGTCAAGAACGATCCATCTCTATAGTTTGAGATGATAATGCTTGTCCATACATATGGAGCAAGCTGTAAACCTAGCCAGCTTGTTAGTCATCCATCTTATTTTTTCCAATATTAACATTTATATGGTGTGTAATGTAGCTGTGAATTTGAAAGTTTTAATGTTCAAAATGCACAAGTTATTGTCTCCTCAAATAAAAAATAAATTCTGAACTGTGAAAATGAGTCTGCAGAAGTGACTAATCAAAATTTTACTGATTGGCCGCTGTGTTCATAAACTCAAAACAAAAGGCTTCATTGGTTATTGTTACTCATCTACACTGTGTACAAGTGCTGAAGATTTATAAAGCCTCTGGAGCTATAGTTCAGATGTGGTCATGGTGGTTTTAATTTGCAGCAGTCATTTTAGTCATAGTCAATACTATGAAAGGCAGGAGTAGAGGTAGAATTTTGCTATAGTTCTAGTCAGTTCAGCTCCACCAGACACAACCTAGTAAGTCAATGGCGACAGCGTTAAGCGTTCATTCATTCATTTTCTTTTTGGCTTAGTCCCTTTGTTAATCAGGGGCCACCACAGCGGAATGAACCGCCAACACACACACACACATCGTTCACACACAAACTCATACACTAGTGTCAATTTTAGCATACCCATTCCACCTCTAACGCATGTCTTTGGACTTATGGTGGAAACCGGAGCACCCGGACGAAACCCACATGCAAACTCCACAGAGAAATGCCTACTGACCCAGCCAAGGCTCGAACCAGCGACCTTCTTGCTGTGAGGGGAACACGTCACCACAAAAACTACATTAAATCAAAAAAATTAAATGAAGGAAAAAAACCTTGTGAGGAACCAGGCTCTAGTGGGGGAGCATTTCTTCGGTGGCTAAAAGGAAAAGAAACAAATGTGCAGTCTAGACAATGATATACAACATTTGTGGACTTTGTCGACTGAGTTCCATCATGGTAAAGGTGCAGATCAAAGTACTTCCCAGGAAAATGTGTTCAGGCTGGCCAAAGAGAACTAAGTAGAGCCAAAGACCTGTTACTGAGGTCTTCGCTGAGAGTATGTCTTGTTGGCTTGACTCATTGATGTCCTCTCTGACCATGTGGGGCTGTGTTTTTTTCAATATCTTTATTATTTACACATCTGCAATTTACAGAATCAAATCAATGCACATGTAAACATTATTTTTCTAGCCACCCTTCAACCATACCCCACCCTTAGACTTTAAACCGCTAGACTTTATTGCAAGGCATTGTGCTACAACATTCAACATATATATGAGAAAACAAGTAAATAAATACAAAAAATAAACAAATACAAAAATGTAAAAAAATATAATAATAATAATAATACAGAAAGGAAGGAAATGTAAATGTGAATTGTGTTGAGGTCGAACTCTGAGCACAACAAGCATCTACTCCAGATATGGACTGAATCCAAGATTACGTGAATCGCTGGAGCAGAGAGAAATAGTGTTTTGGTAAGGGTTTTAAGCAGAGTAGACTTTTTTCTACAGAAGAGATTTGGAAACAGGCAATCTTAGACATATGTGTTCGAGAATTGTTGGGAAATTAGGTGATGTTAAATGTAGGATTAATCAAATCTTGTTAGAGAGATCTAAAATAAAATTAGAAACTTTTAAAATAGCATTTCACTTCAATGTAAGCTACTAAAATAATTCTTCCAATCACACTGGAGAGAAAGAATGTGTTTGTTAATCTGCCATTCGTGGGTCTTGTATGCACAATACTAACCAAAACAGGAAATAGTAAAATAGTACATACTTTTTCAACATAGCATGCTTTAGTACACACTTACTATAATCCTGCTTACTATTTTGCATGGATTATGCACTTTGGGATGCAGGAAATTTCTAGTTGCCCATCCTGACCTCTCTTCTTGCTGCAATTATTGTTTGTGTGTTAATCAGGTTGTAAAGAAGAGGCATCAGTAGCTATGGTGGTCGTTCCTGGTCCACTTCCAGTCTACCTAAGGCTGCCGTATAGACGAGACTCATACTTCTGTTTCCACCAGGAGGAGAAGCGTGCACGATTCGTCTCAATCCTCAATGACTGTATTCGCCACCACAACCAAGGTATCAGCCCTAATCTCAGATTGTCTTTTTTATGCAGTCAGATTAATTACTTTTAGATTATATCGTGAACGCATGTTTATTATGCATAATACGGTTAGTCGTTCAAGAAAATGCAGCTAATCATCTCTGCTGATAATGTCTGAAAGTTTGGCTGTGACAGATTCTCCAGTTTAGATGTTTAGGTTCAATGTGAAGCAATATAGAGCCCGCCCTCTTCTGAAAGGGGAGTCGGGTGGTGCAGCTCATTTGCCTCATTTTAAGGTATACACATAGAAAACACACTTGTGTTTTTGCTCACACACATAAAATTGACATTTAGAGATGCTATAATAAATACTCTGGGGGGTATTTTGAGGTGAAACATTTTGAGAATACCATAGACTCACATACCTAACATATTGTCAAAGTTCAGGTCATATGACACCTTTGATTCTTACAGAATTTCAGTTTACAGATTTAGAAAGTATTGTTATTATTAGTTATTATTATTAGTGTTGTTATTAGTTTTGAGTAATATTCTCTATTCCCTTTCAAAACTAGCTCACTATATGACAGTAGAGGGGCTGAAGAGAAGCCAATTCCGACTGCGTGTGGCAGCGTCTGCACTTTCCCCAGTTTACTACTGTTTTTGTGCTGTGGTCATGGTGATACACTAATAATAAACAAACTGCAAAGCGTCTTTCCTGCTTAGTTGCCGTTTAGTGGTTACACGACCTCTTCAGAAAGTGAAACTGTTTGCAATAAACTAAAATAGTTTTTTTTTCACACCTTCATCTTTTACTTGCCGTACTCTGTCAGAAAATTCACCAACAACACAGAGGCCAATTAAACTGTTACAAATGCACTTCTTTTTTAGATTTTTGCAAATCTGAGTTTAAAAGTCACAATTGAGATAAAAAAGAGAAATATCTTCTGCAATAAGATATTAGGATAAAAGAGAAATATCTTCTGCAATAAGATATTAGGATAAAAGAGAAATATCTTCTGCAATAAGTAGCTGAGTTTGAGTTTTCTTTCATGCTTTTTTCGTGTTTGCAGAGCTAATAGGAGAGGTGGAGGCATCGCTGCCCTGTTTAAAAATGTCTATGAGTGTAAACAAGTGTCATTTGGTGACTATTTGTCCTTTGAATATCTGAGTATAGCACTTACTGATCATTATCTACAGACCTCCAAAATATTCTCCAGCTTTTATTGATGATTTTACAGAGCTGTTATCAATAGTAACCTCTGAATTTGATTATTTTAGTATTGCTGTGGATTTTAATATTCATATAGATAATCCAGAAATCAATGCTGTAAAAAAACTGATGACTGTTTTTAACACTTTTGATCTGACTCAGCATGTTCAAGGACCCACACACAATCGTGGACACACTCTTGATCTACTTATAACTAAGGGTTTACACATTTCATCGACTGTTGTTAAGGATGTGGCACTATCTGATCATTTCTGTATCTTCTTTGATATATTGATCACTCCAGCTATTAAAGACAGATCTGTCTCTGTCAGAAAGAGATGCATAAATGAGAACACTAGTGAGCAGTTTATGAAGGCCATATCGCTAGCACCAAGTATATCTGTTGACTCTCTCCTTGATTTGTTTAACTCTAAAATTAAGATTATAGATGACGTCGCTCCTGTTAAAGTCAAGAAGATGACTGGCAGGCAAAAGGGATCCTGGAAAAGGTCACCGAGAGTACAAATGATGAAAAGACAGTGCAGAAAAGCTGAGCGTATGTGGAGAAAGACGAAACTAGTAGTCCATTATAATATCTATAAAGACTAAACACTGCTAGGCAGACTTTCTTTTCAAGCCTTATAAACAACAACTTAAACAATGCTCGCACACTCTTTGCAACGATAGAGAGACTCACAACCCCCCCCAGTCGGATTCCAAGTGAACTACTCTCTGAAAGCAAATGTAATGAGTTTGCTCATTTCTTTACTGATAAGGTCAATAGTATCAGAAAGGCAATCAGCTCATCCAATCAGCCAAGTTGTGTCGATATCAAACAAGCTCAACCACAACTTAAGAAATCAGACATTATGTCTGATTTCATGGCAATTAACTGCAAAATCTTAGAAGAAATTGTGCAAGTTATGAAAACATCAACCTGCAGTCTTGACACGCTCCCCACATCATTCTTCAAAACGGTGTTTACCTGTTTAGAAATGGATCTTCTAAAAGTGGTAAATGCTTCACTTCTCTCAGGGATTTTTCCAAACTCACTTAAAACTGCAATTGTTAAACCCCTCTTGAAGAAGAGCAACCTGGATAACTGGCCCTATTGAGCAATTACAGGCCAATCTCAAATCTCCCTTTCATTGGCAAAATCATTGAAAAAGTTGTTTTTAACCAGGTTAACAAGTTCTTAAACTTCAAGGGGTGTTTAGACAATTTTCAATCTGGGTTTAGAGCACATCACAGTGCAGAAAGCGCCCTTATAAAGATAATCAATGATATACGCCTAAATACAGATCTAGGCAAGCTAACAGTGCTGGTATTGCTCGATCTCAGTGCTGCATTTGACACTGTCGATCACAGCATACTTCTGGATAGGCTGGAAAACTGGGTTGGGCTGTCTGGCACGGTCCTCAACTGGTTTAGATCTTACCTTGAAGGTAGAGGTTACCATGTCAGTATAGGTGACCATAGGTCGAGGTGGACACCCATGACATGTGGAGTCCCACAAGGTTCGATTCTGGCACCTCTCCTGTTCAACCTTTACATGCTCCCTCTGAGCCAAATAATGAGAAAGAATCAAATCTCCTACCACAGCTATGCTGATGACACTCAGATCTACCTAGCCTTACTGCCTAATGACTACAGCCCCATTGACACCCTCTGCCAATGCATTGATGAAATTTACAATTGGATGTGCCAAAACTTTCTTCAGTTAAACAAAGAGAAAACAGAAATTATTGGGAACAGAAATGAGGTTCTCAAGGTAAATGCGTACCTTGTTACTAAAGGTCAAACAACTAAAAATAAGGTCAAGAATCTTGGTGTGACTCTGGAGTCAGATCTGAGTTTCAATAGTCATCTCAAAGCAGTCAGTAAATCAGCATACTATCATCTCAAAAACATAGCAAGAATCAGATGCTTTGTTTCCAGTGAAGATTTAGAGAAACTTGTTCATGCTTTTATCAGCAGCAGGGTGGATTATTGTAACGGCCTCCTCACTGGCCTTCCTAAAAAGACAGTCAGACAGTTGCAGCTCATCCAGAACGCTGCAGCCAGAATTCTGACCAGAACCAGAAAATCAGAGCACATCACACCTGTCCTCAGGTCTCTACACTGGCTCCCAGGTACATTCAGAATAGATTTTAAAGTATTATTACTGGTCTATAAATCACTAAATGGCCTAGGACCTCAATACATTACAGATATGCTCACTGAATACAAACCCAACAGATCACTCAGATCATTAGGATCATATAAACTTAAAGTTCCAAGAGTTCAGTCAAAGCAGGGTGAATCAGCTTTCAGCCACTATGCCCCCCGCTGCTGGAATCAGCTTCCAGAAATGATCAGATGTGCTCCAACATTAGGCACATTCAAATCAAGACTGAAAACACATCTGTTTAGCTGTGCCTTTACTGAATGAGCACTGTGCTACGTCCGACAGATTGCACTATTATGTTTTTCTCTTCTTCTTCATTCTTTTATATCACATTTTACCTGTTTTTATGTTTTTTAATCAGTTTTATTATTTTTTTACATTTTTTTTTACTTGTTTCTTTTATTCTTGTTTATGTAAAGCACTTTGAATTGCCACTGTGTATGAAATGTGCTATATAAATAAACTTGCCTTGCCTTGCCTTTTTTGAGATATGCATCATAGTGTAAATGACTTCATTAAATTCTAAATCTTTTTCATTCGTTCATTTTCTTTTTGGCTTAGTCCCTTCATTAATCTGGGGTCGCCACAGCGTACCACCAACTTATCCAGCATAGGACATCCTTCTAGCTGCAATTCATCACTGGAAAACACCCGTACACTCTCATTTACACACATACACTATAGCCAATTTAGCCTACCCAATTTACCTGTACCACATGTCTTTGGACTGTGGGGGAAACCTGAGCACCTGGAGGAAACTCACATGAATACAGGGAGAACATGCAAACTCCACAAAGAAATGCCAACTGACCTTCTTGCTGTGAGGTGACAGCACTACCCACTGTGTCACCGCGCCGCCTCCTAAATCTTTATCATTAAAAATATAAATTTTTAATTAAGGAAAAATGTAACATCCCAGGCTAGCAGCTCATAATGTGAAGTAGTTTGTTTACATTTAAGTTAGCCGTACAAAAATAAGTTTATTTAAAGTTCTGAAGCAGATTTAAGTAAACCAGAAGTAAAATGAGTAATTTGTCTGTACACACAAGTTGTGACATAAATGAGACATGATGAAATCAATAAACCACAGCCAATCAAAAGAGTGTGTGAGTGGAGCCTCCCTCAGAGTTCTCAAATATTAGATAATTTAAGCATTATCATCACACGCTGAGTTACTGAAACAGTCATTATGGTGTACTCATACACTTGTTTATTCACATAAGATCATACTTTTAGGGCGCTATCATACACCTAGCGCAATAAGAAGCAAGACATGTATGGTGAAATTAGTTGCTATTTTCAGACCAGCGCAACCCTAATTGTCATGTTTTGCACAATGTTGTTTAAATAGCAAATTCATTTGCACCACTTTGAGGACACATATGTGTGCGGGTCTAAAATAGAGGTGTGTTAAGACACATTGTTGGCGCGTTGCTATTTTGAGGAACTAAAATTGACTGCACAGCGCAGATTGTGTCAGTTATGCACCTATGCAGGTCCAAAATGCTTAAACATTGCCTAATACACACAGGATGTGCAGCAATACACAAATATATTTATATATGAAAAAAATTAAAGGATTAACCACTACCTCCATGCCTTCTTCACCTCCAGGTGTTTTTCAGTTTATTCATGACAATTTGCATAATGTTATTATTAGTATTATTTATATTATATGCATATTTATATTTGTTTTAATAAAAACAAGTTTAGATTTGTTCACCTGTTGGGTTTGGGAGACGTATGTATCACAATGTGAGGCATGGATAAGACTCAGTTGTTTGACCACACTTCTTTAATATTTTGCTTATTTATATAATTGCTGTAAATTCGAACTGAATTTAAAAAATAGTTTTGAAGCAAATCTTTGCACTTAAACAAAATGAAATATGTAGGCTAATGGATGACTTCAGTGGAGTGCGTACAACATTGTTTCCTTATCCAAGAAAGTAAAGGAGTAAAGAGTAAAAGTAAAGTAAAGAGAAAGTAAAAAGGCAGAATATAGGCTTGTTCTTTATCCTTGTGCTGCAGATGCGCTGTTTAACTGTTTTCTCACTAGTGAAGCATTCAGTTTTTTCATTTACAAAGTCCGCCATGTAAATAGCAAATGCACCATGGTGCAATGCAACTGACTCTTAAAGGGAATGTGAGATGAGACTTTAATTGGTTCACTGCACGTTATGCCCAAAACACACTCATAACTCATTAAGAGAATTAACATAACCCTGTTAAACCATGCGCAGACTGTATTTTTCTGTCCTTAAAATAACAAAGGTGTATTCAGACACGTCCTTAATACTTTTGCACCATGCGCTTTAAACATTGTGCATAGATCCTTAAAATAGAGCCCTTATTGTTAATGCTTCCTCTATTTCTTTTTTATTTTTAAATTGCAGATGAGTAAAATGCTGTTCAAACTCAAACATTAGAAACTTTTTTTTTTCAAACAAAGCACACAATCTTTATTTAATTGCAGCATTACAAAGTATTCTAGTCAATGGACTATCTGTGTACTGTGTACTTTAGTATTACTGCCAGCATCATGGCCCACTTTTTATAGTATTATACCTTTCATTTGAACCCTTTATTGGGTGAAAAAGAACCATATATGCTAACCTCATTGACACTAATTACAGTATAACAGTTTTTTTTTAAGCAAACATGCTTGAGTTTATTATTTAATACAGTGCTTGGAGAAACAGTGTGAGGCATCAGTTTACATATCTGTGGACAGCATCAAATGAAACATTAATTATTTCATCATCTAACATTATCTAACTTAAAGCGACAGTTACCTAAAAATGAAAATGATTTTATTATTAACTAATTTTTGCCCATTTCCAAACAAGCTTGAGTTTTTTGTCCTGTTAAACACAAAAGAAGATACCCCAAAATTCAAATAAAAGTTCAAAAGTCGTATAATAACCCCCATTAACACTCCAGGAATTTTCCAATGAGTATTTCAACGTGCTCTATAAAGGGTTATAAAGGCCTATAAAGAATTAACAGTAGTATTATGCTTAATTTTTAGGTATACTTTCTTTACTAACTAGCTATATACACTTATGCTAACTATTGCATATTTTATACTGACTACATATTTATTTCATTTAAACTACAGTTTTATGTACATTCTCACCTAAAATTTTTATTATTTTAAGTCCATCTCAGTAAAGGAAAATACTTTTATAAGTAATGCAATAAGTGGACAGCACAGCTATCAATTTAATCTACAGCTATATGATATAATGTTCTTTTTTTAAAAGGTGATATCTTTTCTATTTCTGTTTACTCATATAGAGAATTTGCTCTACAGACAGCAAAAACGTGTTTTTGACACCAGTTCACTCAATTGAGTAAGACTCATTAAAAGGAATATGATTTCCTAATGCTTCTTGTGTTTATAATAGTTATACAAGTTATATTATATATATTATATGTTTATATTAGTTAGTATATTAGTACATCATGCCACTTCTCTATAGTGCATTATAGTGTTCAAAATGTAAAATAAATGTAGCAAATGTAGCAATGTTGCAGTTTTTATCCTATTTAAAGTGGCCAATTCACGGAAAAGATTTTTTAAAGACATTGTTACGCCATGAAAGCACAGTCATGCATGTGGTGTGGCAATGTTTAGTTAGTTACGTTCAACCCTTTGTGACAACTGTTTATTATTTCCTTTTTTTCATATTATTTCATCACTCTTACTAGTCTTTTCCCTTCTTTCTTAAACCAGAAAAGAGAAGTTTCTAACAACTTCTCACATGATTGAGTATTACGCAATCCTTTCATTTACCAGAGCTCTTCTCCTCTGTCTGTTGTGTGTGCAGATTTTGTGAAGAGTACGGCACATGAGGTGCAGGCTTTCCTGAAGGCCATTCACTTCTACAGGCAGGAGAAGGGCCACTATGAATCATGGGATATGCTGGTGGGCACTGACACCCAGGTGGGCCTCTTGATCTCCAAATTACTCACAAGCATCTTTACAATGAGTGTCTGGGAAAACTAGTGTCTGCTTCATTTGAATGAATGAGACGAGTCATGCTTCTGTCATGTTCTAGTGACCACAGAGGTGAACAAATGCTCTGTGACATCATAGTGTGGTCATCAGACTGAATTGAGTGGATTTAGGAGCGTCATGCTGTTAACATTTCATTTGTGGCTCATTGAACTGTCAGTTCATGCTTGACTGAAAGTATTTAATGCATGTTTATGTTTTACGAGGACTGATTTTGTACATATATTTAGTGTAAATGTTTTAGAGGAGATGTATTTGTCATTTCCACGTGCTCCAGGAAAACATTTACATTTATTTTATAGACAATGATTATATTTAAAGGGATAGTTCACCCAAAAACAAAAATTCTGTCATCAGTTTTTACTCATGCACCATTTGGATGGTAAACATAAGAATGTTCCAGGAATGGATGCAGTGTCTGTTTCCCCCCCAACATTCTTCACAGTATCTTGTTTTGTGTTCAACCAAAGAAAGAAATTCATTGAAGTTTAGAGTTTAGAACCACTTGAGTGTGAGGAAACTGAGTATGAACTATCCATTTAATCATTTATTTATTATATATCTTAAATATTTTTAATGCTAGAATCTACAAAAGCATTAAAGGGACATAATGACTTTTGCATCCCCGTATCCCATTTTCTATTTAAACAAAGGTTGTTTACCTGAAAAGCTTAAGCATTTTTATTTAGATGATTGCAACACAAATAAGCATCCCATATGCTTTGTGAGAATCCAAACGCAATGATTTTATACAATATATATTTTTAAAGGGGTGGTCCATTACGATATCATATTTTAAACTTTAGTTGATGTGTAATGTAGACGTGTAAACATAAACAACATCTCTGAATGCAGACGCTCAAAGTTCAATGCAAAGAGAGACATTGGCTTTTACAGAGTTTTACATTAAAGTCTACAGTGAACTAAGTTTGGGCGCTACATACACAGCGCAGTAAAGGGGCGTGGCCAGAGGTGCTGTAATGTTATAGCAGAGAAAGCTAAAATGCCGTCCAAACGCTGCTATTTCCACAGAGCTTCTTCTGTTTCTGTATTAGGACTTCCAAAGGACACGGCACAAAAAGAAGAAGTGCTTATAATTTATCAAACACTATAAGGTATCATGTATGTTTGTATCACAGATGTGAGAGCATGAGCAAACCTGTGACCCTGAGCAAAAGCTAAAAGTAAAAACAGCTTTTGCAAACATAAAAATGATCGATATGTTGTTCCTCATACCAGAATTCTTCCTGCTCTTGGTGCAATGAATTCTTGAGAGGGTCTTTCACAGGATGTCCTGTAGCCACTCAAGGAAACACCTCTGCCTTCCTCCAACCATTGTTAAGCCCAATTTTCAACCCTAATTTGGAGAACAAGGTGTTGTTGTGTTAGAAAACTGAAAACAGAGGGGTATAGAAGGCTATAGCACACAATAAACAATGCCAAATTATTATTACTCTGTGATCAAACTTCACTATTCAAAAGTTTGGGGTTTAGAATTTCTGTTTAGATTTTCAGTTTTGAACAACTGTACAAAAGCACGCACATCCCTCTTAACTGGGTGCTCAGTCAAAAAACGCAAAAGGTGCAAATTAATTTTTCATTAAAGGCGGCAACGCCAAAGCTCCAAAGATATAAATTTACATATAATATAAAAATATAAATGTACACACTTTGTGTCAGCTTTTTTAATTTAATAAATTTTTATTTTTGGGGCTTTGGTGTTGCCGCCTTTAATATAATATAATATAATATAATATAATATAATATAGGTGGGCAACACAGTGGCGCAGTAGGTAGTGCTGTCAGCTAGCGTTTCTGCGTGGGTTTCCTTTGTGTGCTCCGGTTTCCCCCACAGTCCAAAGACATGCTGTGTAGGTGAATTGGGTAGGCTAAATTGTCTGTAGTGTATGAGTGTGAATGAGTGTGTATGGATGTTTCCCAGAGCTGGGTTGCAGCTGGATAAGTTGCTGGTTTATTCCACTGTGGCAACCCTGGATTAATAAAGGGACTAAGCCGAAAAGAAAATGAATAAATGAATGAATGATATAGGCGACACGGTGGCTCAGTAATCAGCATTGTTGCCTCATAGCAAAAAGGTCGCTGATCCCGTCTGGGCTAATTGGCATTTCTTTGGAGAAGACATGTGGGACAGGTGAATTAAGGAAACTAAATTGGCCGTAGTGTATGATTGTAGAACATATAACATATGCTGGACAAGCTGGCAGTTCATTCCGCTGTGGCAACCCTTCAAAAATAAAGGAACTAAGCTGAAGAAAAATGAATGAATGAATGAATTACTAAAAATTCATTAAAAACTTAAACATTAAAAAATTCAACTAAAACTTTCTCAGTTTTTTCTGTTATCTATTTACCATTATGTCAACTTTGAATGTATTTATCTACTTATCTTATGAACAATGAAACAGTTATTATACAAAGAGCTTGAGAACAAAACTATCAACATACAGTTTTTATGTAATTATGCTTCAAGCATATTTAGTGACTGTAACCCTTTTATTACTCTATATTCACAATGACTCAACCACCACATCTCTGAATTGCAGACTGAATCACCTCCTTCACATTATTCCACCGCTTTTATATTGCTTTGCCTTGTTTTTACATTTCTAAAACATTGTAAGCAAGACAGAGGTATTTTCTAGACAAATAAAAATATTATACTGTTTTCAGAAAAATAGCTATTTTTGCAACTTTAAATTAGCAAAATAATCTGTTTATGGGCTTAACAAATTTAACTGAATACAAGATTATTTTGTTTCTTTTAAGAATAATTTTTAATTTAGAAAAAATCAAAACAACTTAAAAACCTAATTGGTTTTTGGACAACTTTTTATTTATCTAGAACAAAGATGCCCGAACTAGGGCCTGTGGGCAAAATTGGCCCATGATTACCTTTGATTTGGCCCATCATCCCATTTGAGAAGAAAGTAAAAATAAGGGGGGTCAGGGGTGAGGAGATAGCGTTTATTAGAGATTGTGTTTTCTAACTTTGCTTGTTTGTTTTATTGTTGAGCTACAAAAAAGCAAGCTTGAATTAAATCTTTCAATTAAATGCTGCAAATAGATCAGATTCATTTAAATGTGCATTGAATTCCATTCTTTGTGTTATAAAAGGAATTGTTTGTTTTCATTGTAATAAGTTAATTATAAAATGTGCAAATTTACAATGCAATAATTAACTTAATATGATTACAGTAATGATTTCTTTATTTTTAAATATTATTTAAAAAACTAGCAAATTACCCATGGCAACTTTGTAATACAGTTTGCTTTATTTATCTTCGGCCCACAGCCCTCAATTATGTTTAGTGTCTGGCCCTTCATAAGACAAACTTTGGGCACCCCGATCTAGAGAATGCTTCTTGGTTTAAGGATTAGATATTTGAACAAGAAACAAGACAAAAACTCTAAGTAAGAAAAGCAAATGTAATTTTTATAGACGTGTGTTTTTCCTCCATGTGTCACTGTGGAGTCTTAGTTCGTGTATCATCACGGCTCTAATTCTGCCATTACTGGCCACAGCAGTGACTCTCTCACTGTTTTTCTGCAGGTGCTGGCCAATCTGGTGCTGGAGGATCTTCTGCCGTCCCTGCAGACGGAGCTCTTGCCCAAGCTGAAGGGGAAGAAGCCGGAGAGGAAGAGGGTTTGGTTTGCGGTAAGTGAGATCAGCCTCTCCTTGCCTCTATTCTTAGAGCATTTACAAAGCATGTGTTCAGTGTCGCAGTCAGACGACACTCGGCTGCTGCTTTTTTGAGCAGTCCACCTTTTCCCACAGCATGCTTTCCTTTGCAGGACACTTTGCATGAATTATGGGAGTAACTTCCTTTAAACTGTAAACAAACAGTGAAGTGCTTCATTTAAAAATGTGGGTTTAATGAGGGTCATTATTCTCCCAGTTCATCCATTGAAAGTGGTGAGGAAATTTATTAGAATTAACAAATGAGTTTGGGCAGACCATGAATAGCACCAAAAACTGAAGATGAATCTTTCTGTAGCAGTAAATACTGAATGTGACTTGATGTAAAAACAGGGGTGGGCGATGTGACCAAAATTCGATTTCATTTTATTTAATAGTGCCGATTATTTAAGAAGATAGTTATTCTAGAAAATCTTCTCTGTTCATGTGTTTTGAAGAAGAGTTCACTTACAGGATCTCAGAGTCAGATTTGAGATTTCTATTCCCCATATTAGTGTTTTCTTATTTTCTTCTTGGAAATTTCTCATTGGGCAGGCACTAGGACCCAGTGGGAGACAGCAAAAGAATACATTTAACATATATTAAATTACGCTCTGTATGATTGGTGTCACAGTCAATGTTAAAATGACAAATGAAATGTTACTTTTCTTAAAGATAAAAATAAAGCTCGAAGCCAAACACACCTCTCACAAAGGTATTATTAGCATGCATATAAACTATTTTTTCTCCCACACTTTTTATTACAATTTTTTTGAGACTTATTAAATATAAGTTTCCCAAACTTAAAGTGCAACCAATAATTTGGAAGCATGTAGAAAAACTGGCGCCGGCAGCCATTCAGCTGTACGCCCTGTGTGTAACTACCATGAGAGGGCACGAATTACTGCAGCTTTTTTTTTTCTATTTTTACATCATTTAAATTGATTATTCAACAGTATACACGACGATATATTGACAAAGCAAGAAAGAATGAGAATAAATAAGGATGTGCGGTTGTGTGTTTTAAAGTGTGTTTGTATTTGCAGAGTGGGATATGGGTAGGCCCACACGGAATCTGCGCGCGCATAATTCTGCAGATTTTCCACAGATTTTCCGCAGATTTCTGCAGATTTTTAGCCCGTTATTAGTTCTGTTTATTTACTTGAGTAAATGTGTAAATCTGATTTTATTCAGTTTTTATTCAGTAATTTATTACTTTTTATTTAATATATTAAGGTTTTAGTTATGATACTCCACTGGATACTCCAAAAATAATACCAAAGTTCTCCGCAGAAATGGCAAAAAACGTCCGCAGATTCCGTCTGGCCCTGGATATGGGTAAAGAAATCTATTGGCTTTGGTTTTCTGTCAGTTTTTCCGCGCATTAAAAATTGTTTAAAACAAGGTTCAACATGAGTAAACGCTCTTTAAAACAGTCAAACTTAATTAAGGCATTTGCCTAATGGCCTAAAATTAATGAGACAAATATTGGAAAAAATGGTAAAAAAAAAAAAAACTATTGTTTTTCTGGCCTCCACATCATCCAAAATAATACACATTTTACACAATTAGATATAACTCTCTTCGGCTGTCTGTCTCAGCTGACTTGGCATACAGACAAAGACGGCTCTGTGTCCGTGATGGAGTGGGTTTATTGTGCCCATTTTTAGGATGTGATTGTGTTTTCTGTTAGACGGTGGAGGCGACCTATGAGCTCGTGCATGAACAACTCAGAGAAGGATTAGAGAGCTTGAAAACAGAGTGCATAAATGCCAGCAAACAGCAGGAGGCGCTCATCCGTTCAGACATGGACCAAATCATCAACTCACAAACGTTTGTGGAAACAAAACTGCAAGGTATGGATATATTAAAGTAGATCTATACAGGAATTAAGTTCTGTGTATAATGTTTTAGTTCCTTCTGTCTTTATTAGGTCTGTGGTTTAAAGGATTGGGTTGTAAATCAATACTTTTCTTGTGCAAGGGTGCATTAAATTGATCAGAAGTGACTTTAAAGACAGTTATGATGTTTATATTTAGAGTTCTTATTCTGATAAATGCTGTTCTTATTAAACTTTTTATTTGTTAGAGATTTCTGGAAATTTGTGAAAATATTAAGCATCAAAACCTGTTTTCAGGAATGAAGAAATAAAGTAAATAGCGCTCTCTTTTTATGTTCTGGTGACTGAATGCTTACAGGGTGCGTTTCCGAAAAAATGGCAAGTTCCTTCATTACAAACATAGTTCCTTGATTTGGTGTTTCCCAAATCCATCGTTCCAATGAACATTCGCAAACTGCATCGCAAACTTGTACACTTGCAATTACACCTCTAGAGCTGTTAGAAACATAGTTCCTGGCTGTGTTCTATTCCCCGTTATCCCCCTATGCCCAATTCATTTAGAACATTCTAACATTTAACTTGGAATAATAAAAAAAGCTTTAAAGTTATCTTTCTTGGATGTAATTTGCTTTCAAACTATTTTTACAGTTCCATTTTATCAATTTTCATGTTTACAAGTGCGCCCCCTTCGCAGTCCACTTTGAAAACATTGATATCATTTTGAACACAGTCATGGCTCATGATGAAAGCTATAGGTGACCCATTATTTAAAAGCGGAAAGCTTCCAAAGCTTGTGAAAACATAATAGAATACGTTGATGCTTTTAGTTTATAGTTATTTATTATGAAATGTATCTGTATATGACATGGGCCTGTTGGTAATGTAGAACATTTCTATAGAGGTTTGAATGTGTCAAATTGTAAAAGTAGACTTTTCAAAAAATAAATAAATAAATGAATAAACAATATCCTACTTAATAATAATAATAATAATAATAATAATAATAATAATAATACATTAGCTTTTGTAATTTTATGTTTTAGAATAGAATATGTAATGTTCTCAATTATATTTATAAAGGAAACAGGCCCTATATGTGCCCTTTACATATATTTCAATTAATATGGAAAGTGAGTGCATGTTTTTACCAAATCTAATATTGGATTTTATTTTAAATGCGTGTGCATGTAAAACAATATAGTTTGCACAAAGAAATGATGGGATTCTTCTCTAAAGAAGTTACCACCCTGTTTAGAGCATCATTATGGGCGTTTTACGTTATGACTAACGTGGTTCAAATGATGGATCTGCAACAGAGAAACTACGGTTTTTGGGAAACACTGGTCACAATATCATTCTTTTCCCAAATGATACATTGTACTATGATAGTTCAGCCGCGAGTTACGTGGTTGTTTGGTAAACGCACCCCAAATTCGTTCAAAACACAGATTCATCAGAAATCAAACACACAACAGTTCAGTTTCAGCTTTATACATACTATATTCATTGGCTAAATTGACCAAAAGAGATTTGTTGTGTCAAAAGCATAACACAATAATAACTCAATTTTTATTAAAATCTTGTATAAAGTGGGTATCATATTTGTATTTGTGTTTTCTTGTGTTAAAAATTTCGTATATGATAAAATTCGATAAAATATTAAGGTCATAGAACTGTTTTCCACAGGCTCCACCATGTAGTAAGTTGTGGGCTTGCTTGTTCATCCCTAATAAACTGAATTAAATGCAAGACTGAGGTGACTGTTAAATGCATTACAAAAACAAATTTAACGTTGCTTTTCATAATTAATTAACACATTAAATTTCAGCACTAATAACACAAATGTAATTACCCTCTATTTTAAATGTTAGATGGAATCGTTTTTATTAACATTGATTCATTTTACAGAATCATTTTTTTTCCTCTTTATATCAACACTGATTTGTCAGTCTTTAATTGAGAGTACTTGTTCCCTTGAATGATATAGAAAATGTACAGTAAACTGAATCCATTATTAATGTAAAATAATGCACGATGCCGGGTCGCACGGTGGCTCAGTGTTTAGCACTGTCGCATCACAGCAAGAAGGTCGCTGGTTGGAGTCCTGGCTGGACCATTTGGCATTTCTGTGTGGAGTTTGCATGTTCTCCCTGTGTTTGCGCAGGTGGTCTGGGTTCCTCCCCAGTCCAAAGACATGAGTGCTATAGGTGAACTGAATAAACTAAATTGGCCGTAGTCAGGGGTGCCACTGATTGGCGCGGGCCCTTGATAATATCTCTGGGGGCCCCCTAAATGTATGGGCCCTTAGAATCGTCCAAACCGCCCCCCAAATTACAGAGTTGACAATAACAGAGCTGATATTTTCCACCATTTTGTGCTTTAGCTCAAGAGGCTAACCTCAACCTCAACAGAATTAAATGCATTTCATCATATTATTGTGTTTTTTATGAGAGAATTCACATGAATAACACGATCACAGAGTTGGCCAATAATGAATCTGCTAAGGATAAATCTTAAACATTTTCTTTAACAAAATGTACAAAATATACAAGTAACTTTATAGTTGACTTCAACCAAAATTCTAACATTTATGACCGTTAGATTACTAATTTAAATATGTATTACATGAGTTTCCTCCGAATGCTACGGTTTCCGCCAAACACATGCACTATAGGTAAATTGAATAAACTAAACCGTCCCTAGTGTATGTGTCTGAATGTGAGTGTCTATGGTTGTTTCCCAGTACTGGGTTGCGGTTAGAAGAGCATCCGCTGTGTGAAACATATGCTGGAATAGTTGGCGGTTAATTCCGCTGTGGCAAAGTCTGAAAAAGAGACTAAGCCGAAGAATAGTGAATGAATAGTGAGAGTCTACAGTCTTCAGCTCCACTGTCTTTCTGTTTGTGTTCAGCTTTAGTCTCAGATCCTGCCATGAAGTACTGCTCAGAGAGCGTGTCCCCGTACCTGACCTCCATCCTGGAGGAGCTGATGGGTCCTGTGAGCGCAGGCTTCCAGGCTGTCAGGCAGCTGCTGGAGGATGAGCTCACTCGTATCTGCAAGGACTTCCCTCAGGGGGGCGTCACGGAGGAGCTTCAGACGGTGAGACAATGCAGAACATGTAGAAATGTGTGGCATTCTGGCACTGAATATTTATCTGCAGAATTCAACATGTCATGGTCAAGGTTACATTGCACTGCTTGAAGTGATTCAGGTCCGTTTTTTTTTTTTAACGATGGCCGAGAGAGCTTAATACACTGAAATATAAGAAAACACATGCAATTACAAAAAAACAGCAGCAGAAAAGATCTTTACTGGTTTGACAGCAAACGTGTTGCAAATCCTCACAACGCAAACAGAAGAAAATGCGCTGCAAGTTCTCACAACACAAACAAATTAGGAAAACATGCTGCAGTTTTTCACAACACATGCAAATAGCATGAAACATGGAAATGTTTCAGGGGGACCCAAAAACTTGACCGACCCTGCTATTTAGGTTTTAGTTTTTTAGGCTAATAATATACAAAAGACAAGAGACTCATGTAATCAGTATTTTAAATAAACAAAAAACTCATCTTTCAAAAATCACCTACAACTTCACTGAGCTGTAATCACGGCACAATAAGGGTCCCCTTGAAACATTTCCATTGACATTTCATTTCAATTGACATTTAAAGGTTAACTAGGCAGGTTAGGGTAATTAGACAAGTTATTGCATAGCGATGGTTTGTTCTGTAGACTATCGAAAAACATATAGCTTAAAGAGGGTAATAATTTTGACATTAAAATGGGTTGAAAACAAACTAACAAAAAAAACTGCTTTTATTCTAGCCAAAATAAAACAAATAATGTTAAAAAGAAAAAAATATTATTAGACAGACTGTGAAAATTTCTTTGCTCTGTTAAACATCATTTGAGAAATATTTAAAAAAGGAAAAAAAATCAAAGAGGGGGCTAATAATTCTGACTTCAACTTTATGTGATTAGTTCCCTTGACTCAATTTATTCTCCTACCACTGGTTCCAAACCTGAGTTGTTCTCTTCTTTTGAATAAAAGAGTGTATTTTGAAGACTGTTGGAAACTGGTTGCCACAGTACCGTTGCTAGGCATAGGTGAACCAGCTGCAGGGGGGCCAATGAGCATCTCCCCACCTGCCATTGGAGAAGAATGAGATTGTTTTTAATCTCCCTGGTGATAATGGCCACTGTTCACAGGGGTAAATTTCAATTAACATTGGTGGGGGTGCAACGTGAAACGATAAACATGAAGGAGACACAAATATAGAGTTCACTCCAAGCCAAATGTCAACTTTCACTGATGCTGAGTCTCCATGACCTATAGTGAACAGAAAAATAGGCAGCTGCTGCTGAGTAGCCCCTTCAGAATTTTATGATGCTGCATTCAATTATATTAAGTAAAATAATATTTGTGTCACCAGTGTAATACCTGCACTTCTCCTTAGGTGTGTGACCCACTTTAGATCTGTCATGTGACATGACCACAATTTGCATTCACATTTGCAAAAGATTGTAAAGCTGTAAATGGAAGCATGTTTTTATATATACAGTTGAAGACAAAATGATTCGCCCTCCTGTGAATTTTATTTGTATTTTTTTTTATATTTCCCAAATGATGTTCAACAGAGCAAGGAATTTTTCACAGTATTTCCTATAATATTTTTTCTTTTTGAGAAAGTATTATTTGTTTTATTTTGGCTTTAATAACAGCAGTTTAAAAATGTTTAAGGTCAATATTATTAGCCCTCTTAAGCAATATTTTATTTGATTATCAAATAAAACAAACCATCTTTGTACAATGACTTGCCTAATAACCCTAGCCTGCTTAATCAATCTAGTTAAGCCTTTAAACATCACTTTAAGCTGAATACTAGTATCTTGAAAAATATCTGGTCAAATATTCTTTACTGTCATCATGACAAAGATAAAATTATTCAGTCATTAGAAATTAATTATTAAAACTATTATGTTTAGAAATAGGCGAGGCAGTGGCGCAGTAGGTAGTGCTGTCGCCTCACAGCAAGAAGGTCGCTGGTTCGAGCCTCGGCTCAGTTGGCATTTCTGTGTGGAGTTTGCATGTTCTCTCTGCGTTTGCGTGGGTTTCCTCCGGGTGATCTTCCCCCACAGTCCAAAGACATGCGGTACAGGTGAATTGGGAAGGCTAAACTGTCTGTAGTGTATGAGTGTGTGTGTGAATGTGTGTGTGTGCATGTTTCCCAGAGATGGGCTGCGGCTGGAAGGGCATCCAATGTGTAAAAACTTGCTGGATAAGTTGGCGGTTCATGCTGTGGCGACCCCGGATTAATAAAGGGACTAAGCCAATGAGAAAATAAATGAATGAATGTTTAGAAATGTGTTGAAAAAAATCTTCTCACCGTTAAACAGATATCAGGGGAAAATATACAGGGGGGCTAATAATTCAGAAGGACTAATAATTCTGACTTCAGCTGTATGTATATTGAACCACTTCTGAATGAGAGCCAATTTCTGGTTCCCAAACCCAATGACCTGGACATCTGAGAATCCTAAGAGACAGAAAAGTGCGTACTTATCTGCTGACTTCAACTTTTCCTGGCCAGGGCTATTAAACAGCACTTGAAGCAAATCAGGTCAGTTTATCCTCAGAGAGCAGAGTGCTGGACAGCAGTGATTAGATCATGTTGGAATAAGGATCATCTGATCTTAGAAACTCGCTCTCGGGTTCTCATGAGTCATTCTTGTCCGTGTGAAGGCTCTGCAGCAGGTGGGTCGTGACCGGATGGAGGACTGTTACCAGCATGTGAACGTCCTGAAGGAGCAGCTCCAGGAACTGCGCAACCGCTTCAAGTTCTCCAACTCGTCTCGAGTGGTTCACTGCACACAGGGTCAGATGCAGCAGGTGGGTGTGTTTCGTGCTCTTGACTGGGCGTTGGTTAAACTTGGTGGGGCTTTTAGATGTTTTATGTTCATGTAATGAAACTGGCGCTCTGACTCAATTGTAATCACATAAATCTTTTCTAGAGCTCAGTAGAGGAAAAAAAACGACTACTGGAATTAGTTGTGTCACAGACTGCTCCACCAAAAATGAAGTCAGCGGAGAGCATTGCTTCATTTTGTCATGATCTTTGGTTCCCCCTACAGGTCAAGGGAGTTGAAATGAACTGAAGCATGTCTGTTGATTTTTTTTTCACCCCTCAAACTGTTTAGTTGATGGAGAATGCTGTGTACACGTTTGAGCTGCTGCTCCAGTCTGCTTTAAAGGATAAACCTGACAAACAGGCATCGGTTATGGAGAAAGCCAAGCTCCGCGTCCTGAAGGTTGGCCTCAGAATATATTCACCAGCAATTGAACATGATCTTAATAATAAAATAATTCTAATAAATAAAATATTGTCATGAATCTCTTTATTCTCATCAGCAATTTGACTATGACAGCAGCACAGTGAGGAAGAAGATTTTCCAGGAGGCTCTTGTTGACATCACTCTGCCAGCCATCAAGAGGAGTCTGGCCCCTGCCTGCAAAACTGTACGTTCAATTTATCTCTTAAAGATATTCCCCTGAACACTTAGACAATACACCCTCTTACTTAAATGAACACTCCAGTTTTTTAAGAAAAGGCTCATTAACTACTCCATCTTCCAAGTCTGGCAGGAGCACTTTTATTTTAGCTTAGCATAGAATAATCAAATCAGATTAGACCAGAGATGCCAAACTATAGGGCCCGTGGGTCAAAGTTGGCCCATGGTAACCTTTGATTTGGCCCACCATCCCATCTGAGAAGAAAGGGAGAATGATAGGGATGGTTAAGAGATTTGTTGTTTAAAATTTGATGTAACCTTTTATTTGTTCGTTTTATAGTTAAGCTACAAAGAAAGCTTACTGAAATTAGATGTTTTAAATAGTTTTAATGAATCACATTTAGTTCAAAATGTGCATATGGGCATCCGTTGGATAGAGGACAACGAAGAGACTTGGTGAATAAAAAAAGGCAAAGGCAGATTCTGCTCGAATAGTGTTTTCCACATTGAACATTACTGTAATAAATGTGATTGTTTTTAATGCATTTTATTGCAAGTTATAATTAAAAAAAATATTCTGCATTAGGTAATATGATTCAAAGTAATGTTTTCTATTTATTTATAAATATTATAAAATCAATTAGGAAATTACCCATACAATGTAAAATAGTTTGGTATATTTATCTTCAGCCCACAGCTCTCAATAATATTTGTTTTTTGGCCCTTCATACGAAAAAGTTTGGGCACCCCTGAATTAGACCATTAGCATCTTGCACAAAAATGAAATGGAGATAAAAAATTTTTAGATAATGGTCCTATTTAAAGCTTGACTGTTTTAAAGTGTACTAAGACCCATGAAAAATAAAAAGCTGCTCTTTTCTAGGTTGATATGGCTAGGAACTATATTCTCATTTCAGTGTAATAATAAAGAAAGTTTGCTGGTGTACCATGGATGATGATGTTTTGCAGGACCTGAAAATAGTCCCCAGCTAGGTAACTTTCAATGTGACCACCTGCTTGCACAGGGATTGTGTGCCAGTCACACTGTGTAATATTATTGCATTTTTAGACACATATATGATGGTTATAAAACACTACAGTATTTACTTTATATTACTATATTATATATTTTTATTTGTGTATGACATGATTTTGTTCCTGTGAACTCATTTAGTAATTAATTTAGAATTAATCAGCCTTAACACAATGTTCGATTAACAGCTCAAATAAAGGGTTGCTACAGATTATTAGTAATACGTTTGTCTAAATAGTATTTTTCTCTCTGACAGGAGCTGCAGAATTTCGAACAGTTTGTCTTTGCTGATTACACAAACTTTGTTCAAGTGGAGAACATCTATGAGAACATACTGCTCAACCTCTTAAACAATGAAGTTAACAAAGGTAAAGTATTGAAGCCATTTGCAGGGTTCATATGGGTGCTGGCATTCAGTAAAAGTGCTAGAATTGTAATCTAGTGTTTTCAAGACTCGGAAAATGCATTGATTTAGGATAAAGTGCTTGAAACAGCTTAAAAGTGTAATTGTGTTGCTTTCATAATTGACATGAATAAATAGTTAATGAATTATTTAAATTAAAGGGAAAAACTTTTTGCTTTTGCATAAAATGAAAACTCTGAAGTCTACACATTGAGATTACCACTTCATCAGTGAAAAATGCATGAAATTAAATAAAATATAAATTCAATTGAAACGAAGACGACACATTTAAGATGTGAGTAAATTATATTAAATGATTGTAATATAATAGAGGGTAAATGATTGTAATTCATTTATTTTCTTTTCGGCTTAGTCCCTTTATTAATCAGGGGTCACCACAGTGGAATGAACCGCCAACTTATCCAGCATATGTTTTACGAAGTGGATGCCCTTCCAGCTGCAACCCATCTCTGGGAAACATCCATACCCTTATTCACACACATACACTACAGACAATTTAGCCTACCCAATTCACCTGTACCGCATGTCTTTGGACTGTGGGGAAAACCGGAGCACCCGGAGAAAACCCACACAAACGCAGGGAGAACATGCAAATTCCACACAGAAACACCAACAGACCCAGTCGAGGCTCTAACCAGTGACCTTCTTGCTGTGAGGCGACAGCACTACCTACTGCGCCACCTGATTGTAATTCAATGTTGGGGAAATATCCCATCAACATTTTCGCTCAGAACACTTATACTACTATAATACTGTACCAGATATAATCTGATATGTGATAAAGTGTCGATAGCAGGGAAAATAAGTATTGAACATGCCACCAGTTTTCTCAGAAAACATATTTCTAAAGGTGCTGTTGATATGAAATTTTCACTAGCTGTTAGTAACAACCAAAATAATACCTACGTACACAGAAAACAAAACTAATTAATTTACAAATTAAGTTATGCATAATAAATTTTAATAAAGTTAAAAAGTATTGAACACATGAAGAAAGTGGGTTGTAAAAAGTCATGGAAAGCCCAGACAGCAGCTGGATACTCTCTGTAGTTATACAGCAGCCCTGCTCCTCGCCAGTGTAAATAAACATTAGCTGCCTCAGTCAAAACACCTACATTACCATATGATGAAGATAAAACCAGTGTCGACATTTCAGCAAGACAATGATCTCGATTACAGCAATGAAAACTCAACTGCTTTCAGAAAAGAAAACAAAGCTACAAGAATGGCCCAGCCAATCACATGATCTGAATCCAATATAATATAAGAACTAAAGATGAGATTTTATAGAAGAGACCCACAGAAACGTCAAGAATTTTAGACTTGGAGGAAAAAAAACAGCTGTGCAGTTAACAAAAAAACCCTAAAATATTTCAATAGATCAGTCATTTCTCCTCATCATGTCACTCCATTGCTATTACACATTTTTCAGATTTTTTTTTTATTGTTTAAGTTTTAAAAAAGTCTGGGTCAATTTTTATGTCAACAGCTACTTTAGAAAAATATTTACCTCGACAAATCATGCCAATACTTATTTTACCTGCCGTATTTATGTAAATATGTAACATCTATCAATATGTCTACTTTGTGTTTACAGTGGTAAAGGAAGCAGCCAGTCTGAAGAAGAACAACCTGTTTGCTGACAGCACTGACCTGCAGTGTGTAAGTCAAAGCAGTCTGGCGGACAGCCGGACGCCGCCGCTCTCTGCTCCATCAAGCCCACCACCAGTGCAGGCCTCGGTGACCCCCTCTCGACAGCCAGAGCTTATGATCCACCAAATCTCCCAGCAGACCACAGTCATTCCAGTGCTGAAGATCACACCTGAAACACCTCAAGCAGATCTCCCGCCAACATTACTCAACAGTTCATCATCTCTCATTCCAGAAGTTTCCTCAAGCGAACCTGCAAATGTCTCACCAGCTGAGGAGTCGTCATCTTCTCAACCCGAGTCGACTTCATCTAAAGTAAAGGATGAAGATGGATCTGTTAGCTCAGACCGAGCGGTTTATCTTAATTCTACAAACACAGAAAGTCCTGTTCCTTTCGTTGATGCATCTGAAAATGGAAATGTAGAGGAAGAGGCAAGTTCTTCACAGTCTGAAACCAAATGTGTCCAACCTGATGGACCCGTTGAAGAAACTGTGGAGAAGATTGTGAGTGTTGAAGCAGCGCCTTCTAGCGAGGAGGACGGAAATGACACACAAGTCAGTCCTGTTTCTCCCCTTGACTGTGATGTTCCAGTAGGCGGCGCTGTTGCTTTAGCAGCAGATGTGGTGGAGAAGTGCAGCGTTTCAGCAGATCCAGAAGAGGAAAGCGCTGACGGTGTGCAGAGCATCAGAGATCTTATCATGGAGGTCATCGAGGTGGAGGAGACGGTGAGACCCTGTGCCGAAAACCTGCCTTAACCATGCTTGGATGAGAAGATTCTAGAAAACCATCCAGCTCTGCTAACTAATGCAACTACAGTGTTATTTTTTACATTTCATTATCATTGACATTTTATATACTTTGACCTGCATAGCAAACAAGTGCCTGTGTAAACAGAATTCACTCTCTTTTTTAATATTATCTTGCATCATATTAACAACAATTAACAATAATAGAAATAAATTAAAGCTATATATATATATGGGTCAAAGATGGGACATTTCAATCCGGTGTCTCCATCAAATTAAATCGACAAATGTACATAGAAAGAATGTTAAATTCATGTATTTAATGCTTTAAAAAAAGACTGAAATAATCAACATTCATCGTAACGGATACATGAATGGAAAAATTAGTCAACACTTATTCTGACCTGTACTTTTAAAAATGTATAAAAGATAATACTAAATTGTATTATAATTAAAATGACTACGACTGACAAGGGGTAAATCATAGTAGTTTGATAGATAATGCAATGTTTGAATGAATAAAATAAAAAAAAGTACTTTAGTGTTATACTTTGATCATTAATTTGTTAATGTTAATCTCAATATACAGTGAATGATATTTTAGTCAATGTCCTTGTAAATCTTGGCAAAATTATAAATTTTTCGCTCGCAAACACTTTTTTCTTTTGTTTGGCTCCAATAAAAAAAAAGGAAGGAAGGAAAATATATATATATATATATATTTTTTTTTTTTTTTTTGAATGAAATGTTAATGGTCTTATCCAATTCAATGATTTATGCTAAGCTAAAAGTCTTGACTTCCATAGTATGGGGGGAAAATACTAAGGACAACACACACACACACACACACACACACACACACACACACACACACACACACACACACACACACACACACACACACACACACACACACACACACACACACACACACACACACACACACACACACACACACACACACACACACACACACACACACACACACACACACACAAAAACACACACACGCAAAAAAGTTTGGGGTCAGGAGGATTTTTAAATGTTTTAAAATAAGCTTCTGCTCACCAAAGCTGCATTTATTTAATCAAAAATACAGTATAAATGGTAAAATTGTAAAATGTTATTGCACTATTAAATAACTCTTTAAAAGTAGTTTATCATTTAATTTAATAATTTATTCCAGTGATTTTAAAGAGGAATTTTCAGCTTCATTACTCCAGTCTTCAGTCACATGATCCTTCAGAAATCACTCTAACAATTATGTTTTTTTTAAATTATAATAATAATAATAATTATTATTATTAATGGTAATAGTAATGAAAACAATAATGACTGGAGTAATAATGTCATTTGAAATTACATACAATAAGAAAGTAGTTATTCAAAATTGTAATAAATATTTAACAATTAAAAAAATATGTTCAATAAACGTCACCTTGTTGAACAGAATCCTTTTAATTTCATTTCCCTAAACTTTTCATCTGTAGCGTGTGTATACACACACACACACACACACACACACACACACACACACACACACACACACACACACACACACACACACACACACACGTATATACATATGTACATACACACACACACACACATTTTTTTTTGAGCTGCTAAGGTCACTTTATACTAAGGGTATTTTTTTTGATTGGCTAATGACTTGCCTAATTAATCGAACTTGCCTAATAAATCTAGTTAAGTCTTTAAATGGCACCTTAGACTGAATACAAGTATCTTCCAAAAATAAGTAGTAAAATATTATGTTCTGTTATTATGGCTAAGACAAACTTTTATAAATTACTAAAACAATTTTTTTAAGTTTAAAAATGCAGGAAAAATGATTAAACTTGATTAAACAGCACTTGGGAATTTAAGTTTCACTGGAGGGCTAATAACATTGTACAGAATTTTTAGCCCCCTGAATTATTAGCTCCCCCTGTTTATTTTTTCCCCAATGCCTGTTTCTCTCAATGTCTGAAAGATTTTTTCAACTTAATAACTCATTTATTTTATCTTTGCCATGATGACAGTAAATCATTTTTGACTAGATATTTTTAAGACACTTCCATACAGCTTAAAGTGACATTTAAAGGCTTAACTAGGGAAATTAGGCAAGTGATTGTATAATGATGGTATGTTCTGTAGACTATCTGAAAAAATACAGCTTAAAGGAGATAATAATATTGACCTTAAAATGGTTTAAAAATTAAAAACTGTTTTTATTCTAGCCTAAATAACACAAATAAGACTTTCTCCAGAGGAAAAAATATTATCAGACATAATGTGAAAATGTCCTTTCTCTGTTAAACATCATTTGGGAAAAAGAAAAAAGCATTTAAAGGGGGCTAATAATTCTGACTTCAACTGTATATACAGTGCATATCCTTTTGATGATTGACCCACATATATGGCTGTTTATTTTCTTCTGTCTTTCTTATAATGGTTAATACTTCATTTTAAAGTAGGAACATTTTAGTTACACTGTTTAAATGAAATGACAAGAACTAGAAACTCTACATTTGAATATGGTACACAAATGTTTTTTAGTGGACTGACTAATTTATTAAAGCGTTGCGCTGGCCTGTACAGTCAACTCCTTCCTTACAGTAAATAGCAGGAGATTATGCTGATCACTAAACCATTATTTTGTACCTTGCTGTAGATTTTCTGAAAACGAGACAGTATTTTTGTACATATGATTTCCTCAAGAAGACCAGAAGAGTCTGTTCAATAAACTTTTTTTTTTCACAAAACAGAAACGCCGCATCAGTGCATGGTCTTTATTTCTTCCATTTGCAGTAAAGGACAGTCGATTCACATTAGTCTGTTAAACTCACAGGATCATTCTAGCAGCAAAGGCCGAGATGTCAGGAGGCACGATTTGGGTCTGGAATCACAGAGCGATCGAATCCTGAATTCATTGTCATAACTTAAAACAGCATTACAGTACTGTAAAATAAGACGGACGCGTGCTACATCTCAAGTAAAAACAATGACATAAAAAACAACAACCAGAGGCAACATTTAGCACCTTATTATAGGATTATACAACTAGAGGAGTTTCACAGCAATGAATCCTGCACATTGTTAGGTAGTTCATTCATAAATATGTCAGAGATGTATTATGTGCTATTCGACAAACACACTAAGTATTTCTGCTAAATATTATTTGAATAGTGCAAGGTATTATTTTCCATAGAGTGAGTAATGCTACGTTTTCATGAAGCTGTTGATATAAATGTATGTATGAGGTTATTACATATAGTTTATAATTTGCAAAAGATCAATTAACAGCATTTTGGATGACTAATATTTAGTGATTATGAAGATTTGAACAAATCTATTCCAGTTCAGTGAATATAGTGTTAAAGTGAACTTCCTGAAATATAAAAACAAATTAACATAAAATGTTAAGCAAAACATAAATAAATGAAGACTATTCTGAAGGTCAGATGTAACTGTAATCATATTTAGCTCAGATACTTTCATTCAACTTTACCCTGTATGTGTCGCTCAGATCTAAGACTACAGCACTATATCTGAACTTTCATAAATAATATCAACACCTTACAACTAAGTATTGATTTTATTCATGAACGATCAGATAAACAGATCTATACATTCATATTTAAATGTACTTAGACCACCAATCTGCTTAATAATATACATTAAAATTATTAAAGAATTAGTTCACCCACCAATAACCCCAGAAAATATGATCATCATGTCATCATTTACTCATTTTCCACTCGTCCCAAACCTGTTTGTTTTCCTTTGACTGGTGAACACAAAAAGAAGATATTCATTTAGAAAACTACAGAGTTGTTAGCCATTGACTTCCGTAGTATTTATTTCTACTATGGATATCAGTAGCATTTTTTAAAACATTCTTTAGAATATCTTCTTTCGTGTTCAACAGAAAAAAGTCCCTATAGATCATCTCTTAATAGCATCACTAAGCATTTTCCTGGTGTCTCTTTGAATCTAAGGGTTTGTTGAATGAACTGGTTGGTTTGAAGTATTTGAGTGTTGCTGTAGTGAACATGTAGATGGTGTTACGGAGCAGCTTTATCTGGTAGAGCCGTAGCCATGGAAGAAGGGCTCGTCCGGACGAAAGCCATAGGCTGTGGCAGGACGTCCATCTGATCCGTTACTGAGGAAAGAGAAGGAAGAAAGTGAGCATTGTTTCTGATGAACGTTACCTTTGTGAGTCACTAGATGGCCTGCTTCCATACAGATTATGGTGAAAGACGGTAACACATGCTTCAAGATCAGACACATTATATTAGATTTAATTGAGAGCCAATGTTGTGTTTATTTCTCTAAATATGGTATAAATGGGAATGGGGCAAAGAGATTTTAGTATTAAATAAAAACTGATGTTATATGCATTAAATATGTTAAATGCAAGCAAAATGTTTAAATACGTTTTGTGAAAGAAATGTCAAAGTATTGGTGAAATGATGCTCTATTGTGATTCAGTGTGACAGGTAGAAACATGCTTGTTCTGATCGACATATTAAAATACATAAAGTGATCATGCTTTAGTTTTTAAACTACTGTAACACTGAAGGACATTTTAGCTGGCATCTGTTAAATGATGGTAAACATGTACAATAGTCTTTTTTGGTGAGAAAAAAATTATACTTTTAAAAATGAATAAAATAAGAGACGACTGGAAAATTAGATTTACAATTCATAGTTATGTTGGTTTTATACAATTCAAAGGTTGACATTTAAAGAGCAAAAATTACAAGTGCCCTGTTTATAGACATTTCGTCACCTTGGAATTATAAGGATCTGTCTGCGTTCTGAATGATTTTGAGATGTTGAGCTTCAAAGTTTTGCATTCAATATAGCAAACAATATGTGTGTGACAATTTACTTTCATACATTAACATGACAGAGACCCTAAGTGTTCTCTAAATGTAAATTATCAAAGTTCTCTTACATTTGCAAATTGGAGTAAATAAACCATGGTAAATGCTTCTAATTCTGAAAAGTCATTTTCCACTTGCAGTTATAAGGTTCTATCTGGCAGATCATTCATTGAAGCACTACTTTTCAAGAAATACAATTTGGTGTTGTAACAAGGTCAACAACACCAAATCAACGATGTTGATGCTTAAGAAAGTTACATTTTTGCTTTCTGTAAAATTTATTTCATGTTTAAGGTTTAAGATTTTTTCTAGTTCAAATGAATCATACAAGGCATTGCTAAGTATTTTGTCCAGTGCAGATTAAATTATTCTGTTCATATGTATTAAATTGTATGCTTTATATGAATTATTGAATTATATGTATTGGATTATTTGCCCCATGAATTAAATTATGTATTTGTCCTTCAAGTTTCTTCTTCAACAATGTAAAATATAAGATTTCATCTCAATGTCAAAAAATGCTTCTAAATCATCACATTTACACACCTTTTCAGTTTCAGGTTTCTTCTTAATTTTGTGTGGTGCAGCATTATTCAGTTGACTCTGATTTTGTGTGATTTTGTTTTACCCACAGTCAATGGAGCAATCCAGCGAAACGACAAAGAAAGCTGATCCTGACTGGTCCTCGTGCGTGCATTAAAAGTGCTGATTGGCTCACAGAAAGAACCTTATAGAGCCAAGCAAGAGTTCGACTTTGTAGATAAACTTTTTGTTTTTTTTTTAAATAAAAAGTTTTAAAATGTAAACAACTTATAAAAAAATGTCATGTAATGTAAATAGGTTGTCATTTAATAAGAAAATGTGAACAACTCAATTTTGACAAAAATGTCAGATAGAACCTTATAATTCTAAGGTGACGATTTGTATGAATTTTTAGTCAACATGACAAATAGTTTATTTCAGAAACAATAGTAATCAGTATTAGTATCTAAACAATCGTCATATTCTGGGGAAAAAGGCCCCAAACAATATTAATAATTTGAAAAAAAGTTTTAGCACATTTTGCACTTGATGCCACAGATTTGGGTGTTTAAATTATTGTTCTTAAAACAAAAACAATACTATGCTTAATATATAATATACTATACTTATACTGTAATTGTTTGTGGTCTAAGCATGCTGAATACTTCCAAAAAAGGATATTTACCCTAATAATTCATTCATTTTCCTTCAGCTTAGTCCCTTTTTTATCAGGGGTCAACACACAGGAATGAACCACCAACTATTCCGGCATATGTTTTACAACTCTAATAACTTTAATTTGGAAGTTAAATTTAAAGTCCACACACTGACCTTAGTCTATAAAAAAAGCAATAATGATATAAAGATTTACAATAACAGAGAAACAGTAAGACCAAATCAATACACTGACTAGACAGTGTCAACGACACACTAAATAACAATAAACAATCATAGATATTAAAAGGAAAACCCATTATACAGTGCATATATTTCTTGATTATACAATTATGATTATGATTTTTTCTGTCTGTTCACTGCATTTTTTTTGTGATAATAAGAGTATAAATCTCATCTATAAAAACCAAACTCAAATAAGTAAATAAGAAAACATGACTTTCATCCAATGTTCAGACTTTTGTGCTAGAAATGTATGTAAATGTGTGCATTTTATGAAATTATGCCTTATTTGAATAATTCAACATAACATTTTAGAAAACTTGTAAAACAAAAACTGTTTTAAGTTCTCTTCAATGGATTTAATCCTGTTAACATTTACTCTTCCTTCACTCTTTCAAAACCATTTGTTGTTTTCTGTTGAACATAAAAGATATTCAGAAGGGTTTTGGGAACCAGCAGATATAGCCCTTTTTAGTATTTTTTCCTGCTACTAAGGACGTCAAGTTTTTAGCTTAGCTTAGTCGGAATCATTGAAATGGATTAGAGCTTTGGCATCTCAATTGAAAAAAATAATTTTGATAATTTTCCTATTTAAAGCTTGACTTTTCTGTCATTACATTATCAGGGTATATGCAGGAATCCTAAAGATAATTTCAATACCTGTTTGAGACTTTTTAAAGACCTTCTCAGAATATTTTAAGACCTCATCACCACCTCCAAGTTCTAATCAGTATCAAATCAGTATCTAACCTTTAACCTAATAAAGAGTGACATGACATTGGAGTCAAACACTTTGGACAACGTTTGAACAAACTTTAAGACCTCACAAAAATGTGATCAATACTTTTTAATAGCTTTTAAGGGCCTTAATTTTCTCATAATTAATTTGTCAACTTTTAATACTTTAAGACCCCGCGGACACCCTGACTATGTACTAAGATCAACAACAAAATAAAAACTTGCTATTTTCTATGTCAGTATTGCTAAGGGAATATACACTCATTCTGAGGTAATAATCATAGTAAATTGCTACCGTACTATGACTGTGGTGTCTTTGTGTTGCTGCTGCAGCCATAATATGCCAAAGTTCCTTGATCTACAGTATATTTTATTTAGGGGACTTGAGCCTATTTCCAAAAAAGTGGAGTGTTTCTTCAAAATCAAGCAACCAAGATGTAATATTCAAGTGTGCAGAAGAATTTAAAACAATAAAGGTGCTACATACTCCTGTCTTTCTCGCACCTCAACAAGCCATTTACTGTCAGGAAAGTGTTGCGGTTCTAGAAACAAATTGGCTGTTGGCTGAGTCTAAACCAGCAGACTCGAGCCTCTAAATTATGAGCTGTTTGCTTTGCCCCTCTGTGCCCACATTACATTGTGTTGTTTTTAGCCTCGTATGACCTCTAGTAATCAAACCCAGTGAGCTTCTCTTTGCACCCGACTCACACACACATGCACGCACTGCTGTCTAAAATATGTCTTTTTCCTATTGGTCTGCCAGATCTGTCAGGCTACATTTGAGCAGCGGGTAAGAAGGATTCATTCCACCTGTAGGTGCTCTTAACGACTGTTTTTTTGACTACAGCGCCTTCATTTTACCACCACAGTTGGCCTTCGCCTAAAAGTGAGTTCTTTAGCTAGAAATACAAGCTTCCAGAGAACAAGATAATCAAGTGCAGAAGGAGAGCCGCTTTTATTGCATTGAGAATTTATAGCTGCGAGTTATCGGAGTTCACTTCGTGCTTCAGCTTGGTATCATCACGTCATTAATTATGGAAGGATATTAACGCCTGAAATGACACTATGAACTAGGCCTGATAAGAAAGGGAGTTCAGGGATTGAAAATTCTTACATCATTTGCCCACCCTTGTGTCAATCAAAGGCTTTCATACATCACCACAAACAGAAAAGAACAAGAAACCCAAACATTTCTTTGACCTGTTATCGCTGACATTGTTTTTTTGGAAATATGAACATTTTACAAGTCTCCTAAAGTAAAACAGTTGAGTTTTGCTATTTCTGTATTCATTCAGCTGATCTCCGGGTCTGGCGGGATCACTTTTAGCTTAGCTTAGCATAAATCATTAAATCGGATTAGACCATTAGCATCTCACTCAAAATTAAAATAACCTTTAGTTAACCAGGTAAGTCAATTGAGAACCAGTTCTCATTTACAATGTTGACATGGCCAAGAGGCAACATAAAGAGCAGATACAAAGCAGCAGAAACACAATACAATGACAATTTCAGATATAGATAATAACACGTGGAAAAAAACAAGGAAAAAAAAACAAACACGGTGTACTGTTAACTTGACTCTTACTGTTAGCTGAAAGTGTAAAGCTTTAAGGTCTGCTGCAGATGATTCCAAGCATCTGAAAACAAGAGTGGCCAAATAAAGTGGGAACTTTGGGTATGCCAAGGTTAATAAAACTACAAGAGCACAGAATGTTAAGAATGGCTGTAAATATAGTGGAGTTTTCCCAAAAAAAGATAAGTTTTGATAATTTCCTATTTAAAGTTGAACTTTGTAGTTACATTATGTACTAAGAGAGACAGAAAATAAAAAGTTCTTTGATTGTTACAAGATGTATTCTTATAATAATAATAATAATAATCTGTTCCATTTACATAGCGCTTTTCTGAACACTGTACTATGAAGCCAGATCAGTCTCAAAAATAACACATTTACAAAATAAAATTCATGAATTTCTTTTTCGGCCTAGTCCCTTTATTAATCAGGGGTCACCACAGTAGAATGAACCACCAACTTATCCAGCATATGTTTTACGCAGAAGATGCCCTTCCAGCTGCAACCCATCTCTGGGAAACATCCACACACACTCATTCACAC